TTTTGTTCCAGGTAGCAAATCCCCATTATCATAGTTCCTCCCCTCGTACTGCTGTTCTCTTTCGTGTTCCAAAGGTTCTTCTTTTGTCAATTAAGTGTTGTACACGTTAAATTGGTGTTCTAGTTTGTTCACGGGATCTCACGAGTTTGTTCACGACAGTTCACGATAATTATCTTAATAATATCTCTGATAATTATCTTAATAATATCTCTGATAATTATCTTAATAATATCTCTGATAATTATCTTAATAATATATCTGATAATTATCTTAATAATATCTCTGATAATTATCTTAGGTGTTGAGAGGTACACACACACAGGTGTTGACGGGTACACACACAGGTGTTGAGGTACTCACACAGGTGTGGAGAGGTACACAGACAGGTGTTGACGGGTACACACACAGGTGTTGAGGTACTCACACAGGTGTGGAGAGGTACACAGACAGGTGTTGACGGGTACACAGACAGGTGTTGACGGGTACACACAGAGATTACACTGTATCACCCACCAAGCATCAGCCTCGGGAAGGATTAGCCATTCCCATTACAGGATTATGAGACACTAAGCTTCGGATCCGCGCCGGATTAGGTAAAAAAAAAAAGACATTTACTACCGGTTGTACAGCCGGGTTCGTTCTCGACTCATGATCGGGAATTCCGGGTTCGAATCGAGGTGCGGGACATAAATGGTTGGGCGATCTATCGCCTAATGAACCTGTTCACCTTTCAGTAAATTGGTAACCAGGAGCTAGTTAACTTGTTGTGGGGTTAGTTCTTCCTTTAGAGGGGGAGGGGCTCGATATAAGCCTAATATGTATATATGTATTGGCTGCCTGTCCCCGACACAATGAATCATTTCAACGATAACATTGACTATGTGACCTTCCGACATAAGGAGGAAACTATAAGAAGATCCCTAAACAAAATGATACAAATTATTTCTAATCTGCAGAGGTCGTCATGGTGGGAGCAGGTCGGCCGAGCGGACAGCACGCTGGACTTGTGATCCTGTAGTCCTGGGTTCGATCCCAGACGCCGGCGAGAAACAATAAGGCAGAGTTTCTTTCACCCTATGCCCCTGTTACCTAGCAGTAAAATATAGGTACCTGGGTGTTAGTCAGCTGTCACGGCCTGCTTCCTGGGGGGGTGGAGGCCTGGTCGAGGACCGGGCCACGGGGACACTAAAAAGCCCCAAAATCATCTCAAGATAACCAAGATGGTGGGAGCGTCGACAGACAGACAGACAGTATTGAACACTGTGTGACTGACATATATAGTGTCTCGTCCAGGATAATAACGCCATGACCAGCGCTGGCTCACAGCTGAGCATCACTCTCAGAGCACCATATTACTCCTCTACACCAGCCTGGCACAAGGGTAATGAGAGGGACGGACGCACTGTGGAGTTTTCTGCTGTTTCCAGCAGGAATTTAATTGCGTCCAACACATGTGACTCCCACACAAGCTAGAGGCAGGTGTGTGTGGGCGAGTGCACATGTGACTCCCACACAAGCCAGAGGCAGGAAGAGGAGACAAGTAGAGCACCACAAGGGACACCACTGCAGCTAATCCTCTTAGTAACTAACATCAGTAACTTGACAGACAGACAGGCAGGGATGTGCTGACGTTGGCCCGGGTGGAGTAATTATTGTGCTGAGGTAACTTGGTGCTGAGGTAACTTGGTGCTGAGGTAACCTGGTGCTGAGGTAACTTGGTGCTGAGGTAACCTGGTGCTGAGGTAACCTGGTGCTGAGGTAACTTGGTGCTGAGGTAACCTGGTGCTGAGGTAACCTGGTGCTGAGGTAACTTGGTGCTGAGGTAACCTGGTGCTGAGGTAACCTGGTGCTGAGGTAACTTGGTGCTGAGGTAACCTGGTGCTGAGGTAACTTGGTGCTGAGGTAACCTGGTGCTGAGGTAACTTGGTGCTGAGGTAACCTGGTGCTGAGGTAACTTGGTGCTGAGGTAACCTGGTGCTGAGGTAACTTGGTGCTGAGGTAACCTGGTGCTGAGGTAACTTGGTGCTGAGGTAACCTGGTGCTGAGGTAACTTGGTGCTGAGGTAAACTGGTGCTCTGGTGACGTGGGTGAACAGCGTGTGCCACATGTGTAAACACACAGGGCGGGGCTCTACAATATCTACACCTGTGTCTGCTGGTGTGTGTCTAAGGTTCATGGCCAGATGCTTGCGGTCAGTCTCGCTAGACTTTCAAGATGACACATGGGACTTAACAGCACTGTATATAGGCCCTGGGCACGGGGACCCCTACGCAGATGAGGGGACCCTTAGGCCCCAACCCTAATGATTGCCGGATGGGGGCCCCCGGGAATCGTGGGGCCCCTGGTCAGCGTGGCCAAGCGTTTAGGCCGGCCTGTCGTAGGGGGACTGTCATATGCAGATCGGGACGGGCGGATCCCTTTGACCTGATTTAATAGGCTCGGCTCCTATTGCGACTCCTGTAGAGTCCTATGAAGTCGGTCCACCACACACACACAAACTGACCCAAGCTTTGTTACAAAGTTGCATCAAAGCAACAGTAGTAAAAATGCATTTGTGTTTACCGTGTGTGTGTTTGTTGGGGGAATAAGTTCCGCGTTGTGAGAGAGAGGGAGAGGCGAGGGACGAAGGGAAGGGAGAGAGAGAGGGAGAGGAAAGAGATAAAGGAAAGAGAGATGGATGAAGGAGAGATATGGGAGAATGGAGAAGTGGGAAAGGAGACTGAGGGGAAGAGAATGAGATGGGAAAATGGAGGGGAGGGAACAAGGCAAAGAGAGGAGAGGAAGGGGGAGAGCAACGACGGATAAGAGAGAGGGAGACAAAGGGAGATATACAAACAAGTGGGTGAGGGTGAAAAAGAGAGAGAGAGAGAGAGAGACACCCGGGCACAGCCGGGTTCCCTATTTACTTTGATTATAAGGTTCCAACAAAACAAAATACACAATACGATATACATAATACATGATGCAACATGACATAATGACTCATATTTTTGTTGACAGTGTTGGAGGCCATGTTGTATCCTGTAGGCTGACGTACAGGATTCCTTAACCGCTCGACTATACTATTATAGTCGAGGACTATATGCAACTGAAAACTCACACCCCAGAAGTGACTCGAACCTTTGGATGGAAATAGCCTCGGCTACCATCCTCTTTTGTCCGGTCGTGTGGTTAAGGGATCCTGTACGTCAGCAGAGTGCTCCTGGCAGTATATGTTCGAGTCACTTCTGGGGTGTGAGTTTTCAGTTATATATATATATATATATATATATACAGTATATGCGGAAAATCCAAATCCACAAAGAAATGGGAAAGGAAGATGAACGTTTCGGCTGTTCAAAGCCGTTGTCAACACTGGATCAAGTTTGTACATACCAGTACTAACATTGATAAGATTTGTACACTGATTAGAGCAGACTCAATCAAATTCCGTTCCACGAAACCACCACAATTGGTAATGCTTTTCGCTCCATCCCACTTAATAGTGTGATCACATAAACTCGTGTGTAGATACAATGCACTAGACGTTTGGGCAGTTCTAATACTATAAGCATGTTGGGACAACCGCAATTGTAAGGACTTTCCTGTTTGTCCAAGGTTCACAAAATCACAATCATTGCAGGGAATCGAATACACACAATCTGCTGTACCAGGGATTTTTTTTTTATTAAATTGGACTTGATCGTACTATTAGTGAACACCAAATTGATATTAAGTTTCTTAAAAAGCGGGGAAAGTTTTTCAAGTCCAATCGCATAAGGTACCACCAATGAGTTTCTAATTCCTGGTTTCGCTTTGGGGACATGATTATAAAACGTACGCTTGGCTTGTCCGAATGAGCAATCTAAAAACATCTTAAGATATTGTAAACTCTTCTCAATTTCATATATTTAAGCAATCTCTTTATCAAAAAACAAACTCTGGGCTGCATACCCTCAAAGTTCGAAGAAACATTCCTGAAAACACTGAATGTTTAACTTCACTATGATGATTCGAATAATAATGAACAATTGGATGTTAATTGGGATATTCTCGAAAATATTTGAAAAAAATAGAAAATTGTGACAACATTTAGAAAAATCTGCTCGCTTCTGGCAACAGCGTAATGTAGTCCTCAAGTTTCTATCTGTTATCTTAAGAATGTTATGGATAATATAAGCCACTCCTTGGGAAGTGGCATAACAAAGGCTTTGCTAAAGTCAGAGTACACAACATCACAAACTTTGGCACTTTCAACTGCCTCCGCTATGCTGGAGTAAAATAATATCAAATTTTTTAAAACTTCATTGAAGACCAAACCACACAACAGAAGCTGAGGAGACGACGACGTTTCGGATAGATTGGATTGGATAATGGATTGATTGGATAGATTGATTGGATAGTGGATTGATAATGGTCCGTCCTCGACCATTATCAATCCACTTGATCATTGTTTATTAGTGTTAGTGTAGTGAATGTTCCCACGTTGGTTCCTTAATGTATTGTTTAAGAAAGCAATCGTCAATTCTAGAAAATCTTCTTCATTATTCCCTGAAGCTGGGGCCTGACAGCTGAGTGGACAGAGCTTAGGATTCGTAGTCATTAGGTTCCGGGTTACAGCGTCGTGGTATAAGTACTTACTCAATTTCTAAACAATTCACACGAAACTTAAAGAGTACCTGCAAAGTACCTGGCTCTACATTATGTATAGCACAGATTATAATTTACCGCAAAAATCTAAATCTTTGAAGTTTTCAAAGGCTTTAGATGCACATTTCAGTTCTGTTTGAAAATGCCTTTTCATTTTTCATTTTTTTTTTGTAGTAAATGTTATCTTACGGGGTTGAAACTTGTGTCAGTAGATCTTAATAGTTCTATTCTGATAGAAACAATTATTTAAATTAAACACTTCTTAATTTTCTTAATTATCTCCCCCCACCTTTTAGAGAATTACGAGGCTGCCATGTACTGCCAGACGTGTTATATAGAGGTGGAGTTAACTGGTCTCTCTTTCCTTGCAGGAGTTGTGTAGCGGTCGCTGTAGGCCGTCTGTGTCCACTACCTCCACTACCACCATCTCGGCAACCACCACAACCACAGTTCTGGATACAACTATACACGTTACCACCACCACAACAACCACAATCGGTACCAAGAGTGGGAAGGGCTTGCCACACCCTCCACTACCACAACCCGCCGTCAACACTCACCCTAACTACCTCACGAAGCTGGTTAACCAAACGAGTCCCTGTGAGCTCGTTCACCCAAGTCCATATTGTATCAGTGGGAGCAAAGTGACCAATAAGAACGAAGTGAGACCTGAAGCCGAGGATTTATGGGGCAAATCTAGCAATTGTCTACAATAAAGAAGTTTTTCACACATTGTTAATTTTTAATCAATTGAGTGTGACTAATTATTTACAAATTAATACAAAATTAGATATATGATGAACTTTGTAAAAAACTTGTTTGAATATCGGCCTGGAATGACGCCAGATAATATAATTTGAGAGTTTGGTTATATTTATACTGTGTGTAGCTACGAACAACTGAGTCTAGCTAAGAATATCTGCGCCCAGCTGTAAACAACTGTGCCCAGATACGAAAAACTGTGTGTAGTTTAAAGAAGTGATACCAGACAACTGGTGCAGACTGCTCTTAGTCAGTACCCATTCCCAGAAACTCTTCCACGGACAAAGAAATTGTGTTGATTGCAATTGAAAACTGTAAATATTAGACTTTTCCAGTCTGTTACGGACGTGGGTAAATGTTGTTGTTTATCGTATACAAAAAGAATAATCATTAGTCAGCCTTCGGCTTAGGTACTCTGGAACAATTTCACTCAAGCGAGAGTGCAACTCCGGGACTCAAAGTGAGAGCGGCTTCACTTGAACACAAAGCCAACAACTTCAAACACACACACAAAAGAGTCTGCTGGAACGCCCCCAGTGTCCTGGAGCCTAGCGTGCGCCCCCCCAGTGTTCTGGAGCCTAGCGTGCGCCCCCCAGTGTCCTGGAGCCTAGCGTGCGCCCCCCAGTGTCCTGGAACCTAGCGTGCGCCCCCAGTGTCCTGAAGCCTAGCTAGCGTGCGCCCCCCAGTGTCCTGAAGCCTAGCGTGCTCCCCCAGTGTCCTGAAGCCTAGCGTGCGCCCCCCAGTGTCCTGGAACCTAGCGTGCGCCCCCCAGTGTCCTGAAGCCTAGCGTGCTCCCCCAGTGTCCTGGAGCCTAGCGTGCGCCCCCCAGTGTCCTGAAGCCTAGCGTGCTCCCCCAGTGTCCTGGAGCCTAGCGTGCGCCCCCAGTGTCCTGGAACCTAGCGTGCGCCCCCCAGTGTCCTGAAGCCTAGCGTGCGCCCCCAGTGTACTGAAACCTAGCGTGCGCCCCCCAGTGTACTGTAAATAAACAACCCCCTAGTGTACTAGACACCCAACTTTCCTCCCTTAGTGAACCCGACCCATAACCCTCCCTCCCTCCCAGTGTACTGGAGCCCCGGAGCATGGAGCTGTGGACGAGGGAAGGCAGTCACCACCACACCACCACCATGGCCACCCTGGAGATGTGGCTCCAGGCGGCCGCCACCTCCCTCCCGCCCTTCGTCCCCACCGACGGACCTGAAGGTAAGTCAGTCATCGTCCCGCTCAGCGGGTCACCGTCCTGCCCTCGGCACCAAGTTGACACACCCATCTAATCCAATATTCCAAACTAAATAAAGCCCAACACTAAGGTCTCTCAGGATATATGGCAAACGGAAGCTTGTATCCAAAAAACGTGTGCCTGTTTTTTTTTATTATACCATTGATGTGTATGTATACAGGCTATAAACACAGGGACGCTCTATGTTTTCCTGCGCGGCATGATCGAAGGGGGAAGAAATTATGTGTAAACACAGGTCAGGTGTAATGAATAGGTCAGTCTCCTGTGCGCATAGGTCCCACTTGAGGTCTCTGGGCCTTCTTTTACCTCTCTGGGTCTCCCTAGGGCTTCCTAGGGCCTCCTTAGGCCTCCTTGGGCCTCCCTAGGCCTCCTTGGGCCTCTCTGGGCCTCCCTAGGCTTCCCTCCCACCTCTACCTCTCTTATGGCACCTGCCACCCAGCACCGCCACTATGGCACCTCCCACCCAGCACCGCCCCTATGGCACCCCCCACCAGCCAGCCGTGAACGTTATCATGAGCGCGACTCCTTAATGGATCAAGCTGCTAAATATCGCCTAAATTTCTGACTTTTAAAAACTCAATAAAGCTTAGATGAGTGTCTTCGTTTTAAGCTTTACTTGAAGCTGAAGTAAAATAAGTAAGCTTTACTTATTTTCACTGGTGATGGTGCTCAAGATATCTAAATACAGTCCACTTTAACCATCACGGTTTGCTATCGAAATAAATATAAAATTACCGTAAAATATAAATTACTATATAAATTAAATTTAAATCTCACAGATCAATTTCCCCCACAGGTTGGGGGAGGGGGAGGTAGGGGGTCGGGGAGAGGGGGGGAGGGGGAAGGAGAAGGGATATGCAAACATGTGCAAACATAATTATATTAATTATATAAAAAATCACTGAAAAACTTGATATAATTATCTGTATCAGAAGCAGGAACGTTGTTGTGTTTTTTTTTTTTGCTGGTTAATTAAGGTGGAGGAAAATAACAAAAGTTAAATACTTCAAATATTATTATAATGGTTAGTTTGTCTGTCATTATTATGAACTCTACACACAGTGAACACTGCAAGAGACCACACCACCACCACTCTTACAGGTGTGACTTAATATTTTAGGGTTTACATATCTGTTGAACGAGCCATATTGATCATAAAATAATATTATTCAATGATTTATGAAAGATAGTTACAATTTAGTTATAAAAGTGATTATATATATATATATATATATATATATATATATATATATATATATATATATATATATATATATATATATATAAATATATATATATATATATATATATATATATATATATATATATATATATATATATATATATACATATATATATACATATATATATATATATGTATATATATATATATGTATATATATATATATATATATATATATATATATATATATATATATATATATATATATATATTTATATATATATATATATATATTTATATTAGTATATTTTGGTAGCAGTCTTTCCTGTAGACATATTTTATTAAATATGACCGAAAAAGTAAGATTAATAATTCTAACACGAATTTTCTCAATCTTTCGTACATTATGCTTCACTGTTGGAGGTAAATCAAAAATCACTTCTCCAAAATTCATTTTTATTTCTAGTCTGACGCAACACGGGCGCGTTTCGTAAAACTTATTACATTTTCAAAGACTTCACAAATACACAACTGATTAGAACTTGCGTTTCCCTGATTTTATATCTACATTTGAGTGAGGTGGGAAGGGTGATGTGGCATTACATTTGAGTAAGGTGGGAAGGATGATGTGGCATTAGAGGATATTAATAGGGTATTAAAAGTATCAACACAAGACAGAACACGAAACAATGGATATTGAATAGAAGTGTTTGTAGAAAGCCTATTGGTCCATATTTCTTGATGCTTCTATATTGGAGCGGAGTCTTGAGGTGGGTAGAATATAGTTGTGCAATAATTGGCTGTTGATTGCTGGTGTTGACTTCTTGATGTGTAGTGCCTCGCAAACGTCGAGCCGCCTGCTATCGCTGTATCTATCGATGATTTCTGTGTTGTTTACTAGGATTTCTCTGGCGATGGTTTGGTTATGGGAAGAGATTATATGTTCCTTAATGGAGCCCTGTTGTTTATGCATCGTTAAACGCCTAGAAAGAGATGTTGTTGTCTTGCCTATATACTGGGTTTTTTGGAGCTTACAGTCCCCAAGTGGGCATTTGAAGGCATAGACGACGTTAGTCTCTTTTAAAGCGCTCTGTTTCGTGTCTGGAGAGTTTCTCATGAGTAGGCTGGCCGTTTTTCTGGTTTTATAGTAAATCGTCAGTTGTATCCTCTGATTCTCCAATGGTTTCATCGAAGACATCATAAGAAGGAAAGTGAAAAGCCATGCAACCTCCGAAGAGACAACTAACACAACACCTATACCCCCTATTAGACTATTTTACAGGAACTTCTTTTCCACAGCTCATAAAACAGAGGAAAGGGTCCTGAAAGATATTGTTAATAGAAACGTTATCCCTACAGACAAAAATCAGAGGATACAACTGACGATTTACTATAAAACCAGAAAAACGGCCAGCCTACTCATGAGAAACTCTCCAGACACGAAACAGAGCGCTTTAAAAGAGACTAACGTCGTCTATGCCTTCAAATGCCCACTTGGGGACTGTAAGCTCCAAAAAACCCAGTATATAGGCAAGACAACAACATCTCTTTCTAGGCGTTTAACGATGCATAAACAACAGGGCTCCATTAAGGAACATATAATCTCTTCCCATAACCAAACCATCGCCAGAGAAATCCTAGTAAACAACACAGAAATCATCGATAGATACAGCGATAGCAGGCGGCTCGACGTTTGCGAGGCACTACACATCAAGAAGTCAACACCAGCAATCAACAGCCAATTATTGCACAACTATATTCTACCCACCTCAAGACTCCGCTCCAATATAGAAGCATCAAGAAATATGGACCAATAGGCTTTCTACAAACACTTCTATTCAATATCCATTGTTTCGTGTTCTGTCTTGTGTTGATACTTTTAATACCCTATTAATATCCTCTAATGCCACATCATCCTTCCCACCTTACTCAAATGTAATGCCACATCACCCTTCCCACCTCACTCAAATGTAGATATAAAATCAGGGAAACGCAAGTTCTAATCAGTTGTGTATTTGTGAAGTCTTTGAAAATGTAATAAGTTTTACGAAACGCGCCCGTGTTGCGTCAGACTAGAAATAAAAATGAATTTTGGAGAAGTGATTTTTGATTTACCTCCAACAGTGAAGCATAATGTACGAAAGATTGAGAAAATTCGTGTTAGAATTATTAATCTTACTTTTTCGGTCATATTTAATAAAATATATATATATATATATATATATATATATATATATATATATATATATATATATATATATATATATATATATATATATATATATATATATATATATATATATATATATATATATATATATATATATATATATATATATGTGTGCCGCTCCACCTCCCGTCTGTGGAGTCCTCAATGCCAGTAGCCATCAGGCACTTACACTTGGACTTACCCCTAGCACTTACCCCTAGCACTTACGCTGGCACTTACGCAAGGACTTACCCCTAGCACTTACGAAACAAATACATCTTTAATCATGGCGGCTTTGTTTATCATTATTAAATAGTTTATGAGTTTATAAACTTCAACAACCCGAGGTTATTATCGTGACAAACCACCTCGTAGCGCTTCACACCTCATAAGCTGTTTATTAAAGGTAAATAAAGACGCACAGATGATTGGAAGATGCACAAGTTTCGTAAAGCCTTAATAATAAATCCTGGACAGGCACGCGCGCTATCGACTCTCACTTGAAAAATGTAAAAAAAAAAAAATCATAATATCTCACAAGATGAGTGGTAATAATGCTGGAGAGGATGGTGGAGAGGATGTTGGAGAGGCTGGTGGAGAGGATGGTGGAGAGGATGTTGGAGAGGCTGGTGGAGAGGATGGTGGAGAGGATGGTGGAGAGGATGGTGGAGAGGATGTTGGAGAGGATGGTGGAGAGGATGGTGGAGAGGATGTTGGAGAGGCTGGTGGAGAGGATGTTGGAGAGGCTGGTGGAGAGGATGGTGGAGAGGATGTTGGAGAGGCTGGTGGAGAGGATGGTGGAGAGGATGTTGGAGAGGCTGGTGGAGAGGATGGTGGAGAGGATTTTGGAGAGGATGTTGGAGAGGCTGGTGGAGAGGATGGTGGAGAGGATGTTGGAGAGGCTGGTGGAGAGGATGGTGGAGAGGATGGTGGAGAGGATGTTGGAGAGGATGGTGGAGAGGATGGTGGAGAGGATGGTGGAGAGGATGTTGGAGAGGATGGTGGAGAGGATGGTGGAGAGGATGTTGGAGAGGCTGGTGGAGAGGATGGTGGAGAGGATGTTGGAGAGGATGGTGGAGAGGATGGTGGAGAGGATGTTGGAGAGGCTGGTGGAGAGGATGGTGGAGAGGATGTTGGAGAGGATGGTGGAGAGGATGGTGGAGAGGATGGAGAGGATGTTGGAGAGGATGGAGAGGGTGGAGAGGATGGAGAGGATGTGGAGAGGATGTTGGAGAGGATGGTGGAGAGGATGGTGGAGAGGATGGTGGAGAGGATGGTGGAGAGGATGGTGGAGAGGATGGTGGAGAGGATGGTGGAGAGGATTGGAGAGGATGGTGGAGAGGATGGTGGAGAGGATGTTGGAGAGGATGGTGGAGAGGATGGTGGAGAGGATGTTGGAGAGGATGGTGGAGAGGATGGTGGAGAGGATGTTGGAGAGGCTGGTGGAGAGGATGGTGGAGAGGATGTTGGAGAGGATGGTGGAGAGGATGGTGGAGAGGATGTTGGAGAGGATGGTGGAGAGGATGGTGGAGAGGATGGTGGAGAGGATGGTGGAGAGGATGGTGGAGAGG